GTGAGCATGAAATGCAAGAGAGGCTCTATCATTTGGAATAGTAGGTAGGTCTTGTGTCTTCTCCTCTGCCACCGTTTGTGCCTCCCCGTGATCCTTTGGCACTCTATGATGAGGCTTGTGCGGCATATGAGGATGCTGCTGCTTCTCGCCCTCATGGCAAGAGCCAGACTACTGAAGATGATGAGGACTACATGGAGGCGGATGGTGACGACGACGACGGTGGTGATAATGGTGACCAAGATGATGATGAGGACTATGAGGATGAGTAGTCAGTTCTTCACGCGGCCTACCCCTTTTGGCACTTGTTGACAAAGGGAGAGTGTTAGGCTTTGATCTATCTTGTAATAAGTTAGTTGGTCATTTAGTTTCGAGACTTTTAAACCTTTAGCTTGTATGAACTATGTTGTGTGGTGGCTAGTATGTGATGGACAACTATATATATATGTGTTTGTGATGCATGATTGTAGGACAAGTAATGGTTATCTATCTACCTTATTAGCTTGTGCTTGTCTCTACTTGTGATGGTGGATGTATTTTGGATGGCCATGTGTTGCTTCAAGTTTCTACTTTGAAATCTTAGCCTGTTTACAACAAAATTTGGTAAGCTTATCCTAGAAAGGAAGAGATCGGCCGATGATGTCAAAAGCAAGAAAATCTCCTAGTTAAGGGATATTCACGAGCCGGCCAGGAAATATTATTTTTGGAGAAACACGACGTCCAGGTGCATATTACGATGAAAGAAACAAGGACACGTATCAAACAAGGAAGCTTCATCAGCAAGGATTCTACATAAGGGAAATTAGAGTCTATGTATCTTGATAGTTCTTTTTGTTATCTAGTCCTGTTCATTTTGGACTCTTATCAGCCCAGGGTATAAATATAAACCCTCGGCTATTGTAATCAGACACACAATCAATCCAATACAAGTTACTTACATTTTTTGGCTCCGGCCACCCCTTAGGAGTAGGAGTAGAGTAGATCTCGGCGAGTTCATCAACGAGCAGGGCTGCATCGGTCCGGCCGACCTCCGGCTTATCTGTAAGTATCAACATGGCTTATACTTCTATTTGTACGGCTGCATCGATTCGGTCGACCTCCACTGCGACTCTGGTATAAGCTAGTTATCGACTCTTGTTTAGTTCAAGTATGGCTGCATCGATCCGGTCGACCTCTACTGCTCAAACTAGATTAAGGTCAAGTTATCGGCTTTATCTAAGGGTGGCATTCCTTCGGATAGATTCATTAAGTTACCGATATTGCTTATTGCTTTCATTATTCATCTAGATCGGCCTTACATCTTTTTTAACCTATCGTTTATTAATCTAAATTTGATCTAATCTGTACTTTAAATGATGAGTTATGTTTTATCGGATGTTTTATGTCAATCTTGATCGTGCATAGTGTGCGGTTAAGGCATGTCTGATCTTGAGTAGATCTATTGGCTAGTGAAAACCGTTCCATGGCCTGTTATCATGGCCTGTGTGATTCTGCCTCACACCCCACTGTTAGCACCGTGGAGTGGAGATCGTTATTTGGTAGATCTATTCCTGATAGGGCATGACCTTAACTGTGCGCTAAGCCTGAATCGGCTGTTTTAGCCGATATCGAGTGCTTTCACGAACAGTTCACATCACGAGACCGTTGAGGTAAAGATAGGTTGAAAGATGTGTTAGCCCCATGATCTTATTATTGTATTACGGCCTGCATGATTCTGCCTCATGCTCCACTAATATTAGTAATAAGTTAGGGTCGTCGAATCTATTGTTGTTTCTACGACCTGCATGATTCTGCCTCATGCCCCACTAGTCATAACGATAGATGGGATCTAATATGTTCATTAGATTTATCTTTATTAAATGGTTAAATGATGATGAGCTGTTTCTTTTATATAAAAGGGATTCGATTAATTGCAGTCATTGGCTTAGTATGAACTAATTATTGTTGATATCTTATTGCCATTGACTAATATTTTTCTAAATAACGATATTCATCTTGAATGATAACCGATTTTTCTTACACAACCCCATGAGCTTTAACTAATTTATTCCTATGAGTATGCTAGAATCGACTCTTTAGTTGATCTCCTTTCACATCGGCTCTCTGAGCCACACATTCGGGACTGTCTGGCAACACCGGCACGTTCCGCCTTAAATTACATATTAGCTTTCTCTCCTTGTCAATTGCAAGGTCAAATTAACTGGCACGTCTCGAGAGGAGTACGCAGGATTGACCACCCCTGCGTTGAAGCTAGGTGGATCTACAGCTCCATCGAGCAGACCCTTCCAGCTTGCTCATGTGCCCTCAGCACGGGACGAAATTTCTATGCCAACATGGCCATTATATTCTCTTTTACTTGTTGTGTGAAATAACATGTCATATTGCATCTCTTTTCATGGATATATATTTGTTCACACACACTTGTTGCACCCCACGGATTGCAAAATTTAGGGAGAGCTTTTGTCTTGATGTATGCAAATCATGTATAGATGATTCTAATTGACATTCAAATTCATGCATACATCAAGGGGAGCTCTTTATAAATTTTGGGTTTCAAAAGCTTTAAAATCTTTCATTCTTATAAAAACATAAGTTGGTTGTCATGAATTACCAAAAAGGAGGAGATTGAAAGTGCATTTGCTCCCTATGTGGGTTTTGGTGTATTGATGACATCCAAATTAGAGACTAATGTGATCTTAATGAGATATGTCGCAGCTATTAGTCCCATGAAAGATTCAAATAGTTGATAAAGAGGAAATGGTATCCCTCAATTCTTGAAGTTGTAAAGGCGGACGAACTCAAAGCGCTCTCCAAAGGTTTTATTTTTGTTTTTGAGTTTAGGATCTGCCACACTATAAAGAGGGATGCAAACTTAGTTGGTCTGAGGAAGATAGAGTGCTCAAGCATAAAAATAAAATCAAAAGAGAGACACTCTAGCACTCCATGAGCACATAGAATATTTTTCAGTGACTGTTGGTGTCGGAAGTCCCGACATAAGCCGAAACTCCCGACCGTCGGAAGTCACGACTCATGCCAGAAGTCCTGACGCCCAGTCACTTAGCCTGTGCAGTGATTGTGGTAGTCGAAAGTCCCAACGTGAGTCGGAAGTCCCGACAGTCGGAAGTCTCGACCCAAGTCGGGAGTCTCGACACCTGGGGGTTTGCTGGCCGACTATCTACGCCCGTCGGAAGTCCCGACGTATGTCGGAAATCCCGATAGTCAGAAGTCCCGACCCTTGTCAGGAGTCCCAACACCTAGGGTTTTGCTAGTTGGCTGTCTGCGCACGTTAGAAGTCCCGACGTACGTAGGGAGTTCCGACATTGACTTGCTCGTGCGGACTTTGACCTGCGTGAACAGTGTTTTCTATTAAGGTCGGAAGTCCCGAGATCTGCATTGGAACTTCCGACGTAGATCTGAACGGTTAGATTTCTACTATAAGTATAAATAGCCCTCTCTTCACTTCTAACCGTTATGGACTTATTCACAGCTCACCAACCTTCGTGCTCAACAGCTCTCAAGCAACAAAGGCACCCCTCTCCTCCCTCCTTTGCTCCAATCTTCGATTCTCCTATGGTTTTGAGTGAAAGGAGAGTGGATTAAGTGAGAGAATCACTTTAACAAGCTTGAACACTTGATTTCTTCGTCAAGCCGGTTGGATTTGCCTCTATTACTCTTGGCGCTTTGCCCCTAGCCGGCTAGGCATTGCCCAAGAGCTTCCATCTTATGGAAGAGCCTTGGAGTTTATATTACCCTTAATTTCTTAGTGGAAAGCTTAAGTGACCTTTGTGGTTGCCTTGAGAGAGGTAAGGAGGTGAAAGAGACTCCGACCTTTGTGGTCACCTCAACAACGAGGACGTAGGAGCTCCTTTGTGGGGTTGCCGAACCTCAGGATAAATCTTTGTGTCCCATGTGCTTGTTGTTGTATTTGCTCGAGATTATTTGTATTTGCTTGTCTCTCTCTCTCCCAAACTTCATTTTATGGTTTGGACTCAATCTACGGTTTGGAGGCATTTCGGCGTCAAGGGAGTGGCCCAACATCTTCACCAAACCATTAGGAAGTGGGGTTGTAAGATTATTTATCCGTAAAGTTAAATTTGGCACTGCTTTTGTAGTTCACGTAGGCGTCGAGACTTCTGACGTTTGTACTGGAACTTCTGACGGCGTCGGGAGTTCCGACCCAAACTGTCGGGACTTCCGACATTGACTGACAAATTTAAACTTAGCATTTGCAGTTAATTTTTAGATATGTCTATTCACACCCCTCTAGGCATCGTTAGATCCTTTCATCAGCTCGCGCGCGCGTGTCGAAACGGTAGCCACCGCTCATGCATGCCCGGACGGCCTACGGTGGGCTGCGCGAACCCGCAAGTTATTGGTTGCCGTTGTCTCAAGATAAGATGGGCGGCCGAGATTAACATGGATCGAATCGAAGCACCTCGAGCTGGCTGATCGGCGGCATGCAGTTTTCACGAGCTCCTCCCCTCCCCTCGCTGCGTGGTGATGACCGGAGGTTGAGGATGAAGCTAACATGTGGGGCCCACATGTTAGAGAGTAGAGGGAGAGTAGCAACATGGGTAAATAGGCCATTTCCCGTGCTAAGTGAGGGCTTCCAGGCTCGCTGCCACGCTGGCATGCCCACCTGGTGTGCCACATCAGCGAAAGTGGCAAAAGCGTATGAGTTTCACTGTTTGTGATGGCAATTATGTAGAAGCGCACATAAAACTGGTAAACAGAGGAGTGCCATCCGTAAGGATGGCAAAAAGTTAAAAATCGCATCCAACGAGGCCATGATGATTTATGTAATGCACCATTTACTCAAGGGAGGAAATGAGGAAACTGAAAATGGGTGTGGGATTCAAGATCAAACCTGCTATGCTTTTATATAATATCCATGCTGCTCTTTCTCTGCCATTTTTACACTGTAAAAAATGCTAATTGTTTCTCCATAATATGGAAACTGTTTTTTCACATCACTCGTGGGATCCTCTTTGAGTTGTATGTAGACTGGACAACGGTTGAAAGAGTCTGATAAAGAATCTGGACATCAGAAGACCATTTCATCATTGTCAAAATCCTCAGATTGGTCACATTTCATTACTGGCTCCTTGGATAAATCTTCTAAGGTTAGAATTTGTTCAGGTTAACTGTCATGAAGATATTTGTAGTTTCCCTGACATTCAATTTTCCATGCCTAGCTATGGGATACAAGAACGCTAACACTGATCAAGACGTATGTCACAGAGAGACCTGTTAATGCTGTTGACATCTCTCCTACTCATGATACAGTATGTTCCTCCTCACAAACTTATTTATACACATCTTTTCTATTCCACTTTCCCTTGCCACACGGCAAAAGCTGAAAAGCATAAAATGCCTGTCGACCTGTGTAATATTCACACATTGTCACGAGCTTTGTGTTGAATCTGTGATTCGTGAAGTAGCATGGGGTCTGTCTAAATGCCCAGGTTGTATGCACTGCTGAGCTAATTTGTTTGCCAATTGGGTTTCATAATCCGTATAGCGGATCTTCATATACCTGGTATTGCAAAGTGGCTCTTTGTCCAATTTAGTGCATTTTTATGTAATAATCATAGGTCGTGATTTTGTATATATGTAACTGTGCTGTCACTCTGTCAGCCATTGCAAATTTTGCTGTGTACACTAGGAGAAAAGTATTTTATCACATTTAAGCTATTGACCTATGGCTTATGCATTTTGTTAGTTGTTGCGCTTCTTTTTGTATTTACACTAGAGCACTATTTATCATGTTTGATTTTTTTGAGCTGTAGATGAATGCATTGTGTTTATTGTCTACATGTGATTCTTAGCTCAGTGGTACCATCATCTGTGTTCCATTTTCCTAAGATTTTCGTTTCTGTTTTTAGGTAGTTCTAGGAGGTGGTCAGGATGCAATGAATGTGACTATGACAGACCGCCGTGCTGGTAAATTTGAGGCTAAATTCTATCACAAGGTAAGTTCTTTTCCAGTTAATAAAGTATCGAGGTATTACTCCTTTTGTGTTGCTTCCTTGCCAAACTTTGTATGCTTACAATATTTGAACTGTTCTGATTAAAACTTGCTCTCTTTTAGATTTTGCAAGAGGAAATTGGTGGTGTTAAAGGACATTTTGGGCCAATTAATGCTTTAGCATTTAATCCTGATGGGCGAAGGTAATATTTTTTGTTCTGACAGTGCTTTTCTTATCTAGTCATTGTTGTTACTATCAACATTTGTCCACTGTCCATTGTATAAGGTTATGCCCATATTTCGTGTTTTTTTGTTGTTGTATATGCTCAATGATTCTACCATGGTAAATCATGGTAATATACGCTATTCTGAGCCACACAAGGATGCCATAAGCTTTCTGAGAGCAGGATTTTATTTGCTATGTGTAATTTTCATTAGGTTTTCATATTGATTTATCTTTTGCAAATTTACTCTCTGAAAAATCTCCTTTTCTAGCTTATTTGTGGAGCAATGTAACGACCAGTCCTGATTCTCCATTTTATCCCACTTTTCTTTTAAGTTAATTAATCTGAAATATTTTATCTACATTGACACTAAACATTATTTTATCTTTTTCATATGTCTACCACATATCTGGTCTTCATTGATTTCTGAAGCTATTTATTTTTACCTTTTATATGGCTGAATCTCTCCTCTTCAGCCATGCTACGTTTACATGTAGCTCAGACTGATTGTAGCCAACATTGGCAATATATGCTATGCTGACCTCAGTTCGATGAACATTTTGAGTATGAGAGCTACATTCTGCCCACAGTAGCTTTACCATTAATCTGGCCTTTTAAAAAAATTCTTTTTTATTATCGTATGCATCTTTGGGATCTGATAGCTCAATGACTTCAACCAGACACACTGGTTATATATGCTATTCTGATTGCCGCTGTTGAAAAAAAAATGATTCATGAGAGCTACCATTGTACACTATCAACATGTGATGTAGATACTTTTCTCTTATGTTCTGAAGTTGCTTTTTTTAGTAAAAAGGTTTTTCTAATTCTGTCCATATTCTTTCTTTAATCTTATTAGCTTTTCGAGTGGTGGTGAAGATGGATATGTAAGGCTGCATCATTTTGATTCCGACTACTTCAACATCAAGATGTAGATAAAGAATACCACAGGCTAATCCAAGGTAATATTCAGCTGCCAGCAATTCAAGAAGATTGCACCTATTTTGATGCACCAATGTGTACTGTTGAACTATCTAATGGTTTAGATAACAGGCAGTAGAAAAAATATCTTTCCCAGCATTAGTAAATATATATGGCATATTGTTTTCTTGGAATCCAACCTTGTGTTTTAGGAAGTGTTTGTGTTATTATTATACACATGTCAGCTTCATCTCTCGTCTGTTCTAACAAATCATCGATGATATCTATCCTAAGAATTCCATTTCTTGCATTCAGATTCAAAATTTAGGCCGTGCTTCCATCCTGCAACCCCTGTTGCGCTGGTTTTCAGCTCGTGTTTGTGTTAACCTTCATTCTGTAATTCCTTTTCAGGTTGTTTGAGACTCAACTGGTACAGTTTCTTGGTTCAGATGTTGCTGGTTGACCGTGACACATGCAGAGCTGGCTCAGATCCTAGATGGTGTGGCAGTGTGTTGCTTATTAGACGATGTTGCTCTGGACAAGCAACTCTTTGGTCTGCTTGAGGAATCTGTACACTTTGGTAATGAAAAGATCCTTGAACTGCTATCTTGAGTTGTCATTCTCGCTCCATGGATTCCCATTTTGTTTCGATTTGTATTCTCTGTTAATCTAAATCTTCCCTAATGGTCACTACTGAACTCTTCTGCTCGCAGGCAGCAGAAACTCACACGCTAATACGCACTGTCATTCTCTTGTGCCGGACTGAGCTGCTGGGCTCCGATGTACGCGGCTCCAGAAGGCCCTCCTCTGGTGTCTCCTAATATTGCTGGCACCCCGAGTTCTTCGCTTCGTCCTAGTATATCCCTGCGAATGTTTGTTGCGCCGAAACATCGTGCAAAGCAAATGGATGCCGCTGGGGAATGGATGATGATAAAACAAAGAGCAAGTGGAAGTCCGCCGACCGGCGACCGCGTTTACCTACTTTATTACCGCGGGCGGGACGCGGACCATTGTGCTGAGAACAGAATCCAAAAAACCCCACTGCCGCGCCGCTTGCCGAACTCGGAGTCTGGGACAACCCACGCGCCCCGCAAAAAACAGCAGCAATGCTGATAGTTTTGGACTCTCAATCCACTGCACCGACTTGTGTGCGCCTTCGCGAATCTGGAGCACGAGACACACATTGCACCGATACGGGTTACGGATACGATGATACAGCGATACTTTATACCCGTGCCAGCATGTGCGTAGTACCCCGTATCTCTGTAGCATTATTAGCGGCTCCTTGTTGCTAGTGAAAGTCCACGCCGCCTCTCCGTCCGTCCATCCGCGCTCAATGCCGGCGTCCACCGGATCGGACATCGTCGGCGCGGGAACGGCGGCCGTCGCCGTCGTCTGCGAGTACGACCGCGTCAGCGTGGTCCTCGAGCTCGCCGCGCTCTCCGCCTTCCTCCTCCTCCTGCGGTACGCTGCGGTCCTCTACGCCAACCACCTGCTCGCTACACTGAGCGCCGACGACGACCTCATCCCGCCGGCGGCACGGAGCGACGGCGCCTCATCATCAGGCCTCGACGACGCTGCCATCGCTCGGCTGCCATGCTTCGTCGTCGTGAGCCGCGGGGCCGGGGCGGCTGCCGCCGCGACCGCGACGGAGAAGTGCGCGGTGTGCCTGGGCGCCGTCGAGGAAGGCGAGACGGCGCGGGCGCTCCCCAGCTGCGCGCACGCGTTCCACGCGCGCTGCGTCGACGCGTGGCTGCGCCTGCGACCGACGTGCCCCGTGTGCCGGGCGACGTGCCGCTGAGACACCGGAGGCGGCAGGCACCTGCACGCCGCGCCGCGACCGCTGGTGCTCAAGATTCGTCCATGTCGATTCAAGTAGCCGTCCTTCAGTTCACTGAGATCAAGTAATTTTTCTCCATGTCTTTAGTCATGCGAAATGATATTGACGATTCTGTTTTTTTATCTCAATACAGCTTTGTGAAGGAAGATAAAAAGAAGTAAATTTCACCCATCGTACAGCAACTTATTTTTATACCACTTTACTTTAGTTTAACAATACGCAAAATGCACGAATAGATGCATCAATTTGTCATTGTGAGCGACCGATTCTTCAGACTTCTGTTAGCTAGCGTAGGATCTGCTCCTCCTCTTGTAACTCAACTGTGTAACTGCTAGTCGCTAGTCTTCAGCTGAGCCGTGCATGCAGGTTAGTTAGAATTGATCGGCTAGGAATGATCGGCAAGATGTATAAGTACATGTACACTGAACATCGAATGAACTGAGCGTTCTATTCTCTTACATGGTATCAGCTATCTCTCGATCCCACCTCCCACCCACTGCTTCCGCCTCTCTGAGCCATGGCGAGTCCATCCGGGTCTGCTGCCTCCTCCGGCTCCAACCCTTTCACCGGACCTGCTGACCCCGCTCCACCCTCAGCCTCCACCCTTGTGCTACTTAACATCCGTAGCCATGTCCCCGTCGTGCTGTCTACCGACGAAGGCAATTTCCGGCAATGGCGTTCCTGCATTGAGCTCACTCTCCAAAAATTTGGCCTCGTCAATCATATTGACGCCATGATCACCGACGCCGAATGGCTCCAGATCGATGCTTGCATCGTTTCCTGGCTCTACAACACCGTGTCCAAGGAAATCTGGAACGATGTCAACCGCCCCAATGCCAACACCTACTCCGTCTGGACTGCGATCACCAGCCAATTCCTCGACAATAGTCTTCAGCGCGCGGTGTACGCCAAGCAGGAGTTCCACAGCCTGTACCAGGGCGACATGGGCGTCGGCGAGTACTGCGGCCGCCTCAAGCGCCTCGCCGACACGCTCTACGACTGCGGCGCCGCCGTCTCAGATACGGCCCTCGTCATCAACACCCTGCGCGGCCTGAACAACAAGTTCAGCCAGGCGATTGCTGTCCTCACCACCATGTCTCCCCCACCCACTTTTCTCTACACCAAATCATACCTTCTGCAGGAAGAGAACCGCATCCGCCACTCTCTCCAGATGGAGGCGTAGACGGCCCTTCTTGCGGCGGCCCCCAACAACTCGACGTCTCGGCCCGCCGCGCCTTCTCCACCAACGTCCCAGGCATCCAACAACAGCGCCAATGATCGGCGCAAGAAGCGGAAGGCCAACGACGGACGCACTCGCAACAACAACTCCGGCGGCCAAGGTGCACCAACCGGCGGCCAAGGTGCATCCTGGCGGCCCTCCACCACCACAGTGGGCGACGGCTCACAACCCGTGGCAGGGGGTTGTTCAGGCATGGCCCATGCATGCTGTAGGACACGAGGACGCCTAAGAGGGGGGGTGAATTAGGCAACTTAAAATTCTAACTCAAAACTATGGCCTATTTTTTTAACTCTAGCAAAACCTATGCAAAAGATAATCTATCTAGATGTGCAACTACGGTTTTGCTAGTGTGTTGCTATCTCTACTGCAAATGATAATAATATGATCAATGTAAATGCGGAAGCTTAAAGAGCAAGGTAGAGATATGCAAACTCCCGTCGACGACTCCGGTATTTTTACCGAGGTATCGAGAAGCGCGCAAGCTTCCCCCCTAGTCCTCTTTGGAGCCCCTCGCAAGGAATCCCTCTCAAGGGCCAAGCTCCCGGGCCAAGCTCCCGGTCGGGTAACTCCGTAGATAGCCTCGGGCCTTCCCCACGCGCAAGTGGGTCTCCGATGTGCCTTCCGGCAAGCCTCTCCTGGATGCTCCCCGCCGTCTTCACTATCAAGCTTTCGGCCGAAACGCCGCGGGCCTTGTTCCCTTCGGTACACGGTGGCGGCCGCACCACAAACGCGGTTGGTGCGATCTCGCAAGACTTCAAGCCCCTCCAATGTACAACTCTTGTGCTCGCAAGCACGGGGTGGCAAGAGGTATGCAAACCTCACTAAACACTAGGCAAACACCTAGAGCAAGCGCATAAGCGGTGGTCTAATCAACCTAAGCACTTCGCAAAGCACTTATGCTAATCACCTGATGAAAACACTAAGCACTTAGCAAGTGGAGATCACTAAAATGGTGTATCAACACCCTTGGTATGTTTCCTCAGCTCTACACTACTCAAATGGCCGGTTGGGGGTTGTATTTATAAGCCCCACTGAGAAAGTAACCGTTGGGGTCGAATTCCCGCAAAACTGCTACTGACCGGACGCTGAATCATCCTGATCGGACGCGTCCGGTCGTCCCGACCGTTGCAGCCGCGAACTACCGATCGGACGCTGCCAACGTCCGGTCGCCTGCCACCGGACGCGTCCGGTCGTAGTTTCGCGCGCCTGGAACCTCTCTGTACTCGATCGGACGCTGCGTGTCTGCGTCCGGTCGGTTGTCGCCAGCGTCCGGTCCTCGTGTCCGGTCGCCTGTTTGCCGAGCCACCGGTCCAGCGTCCGGTCGCGCTTCCAGCGTCTGGTCCAGCGTCCGATCGCCTCTACGAGCTCGTTTCTTCGCGATCTTGCGCACGGCTTGGTTCCTATCTTCATGCTTGGACTTTGCTTGACATCTTGGGTCTTTTCTTGTGCTTCTAAGGTCTTGCTTGAGGTGTTGATTATCAGATCATCACGTCGCCTTCGTCCAAGTCACGTCTTGCACCCTATTGGACTACAAAACAAACACTTGCAAATTCATTAGTCCAATTCGGTTGTGTTGGTCATCAAACACCAAAATCCAAAGTAAATGGGCCAAGGGTCCATTTTCCTTACAATCTCCCCCTTTTTGGTGATTGATGACAACACGACCAAAGCAAGCAAATGATAAAATTTTTAAATTTAAAAATTATCTACTTGCTAGGATGCAATGCAAAGGGCAAGGTTATATGATACTAATTGATAGATACCAATTAAAACTTTACTTAAAAACATGTCTTGCCCTTGCAAATGTCCCCATGTGATATTATGGATTAAAGCCTATCTTTCTAAAAAAATTCTCCCATTACATAGACTAATCCATAATTCACTTTCCCCCTTTCTCGGACCATTACCACTTGTAGACATCAACTTGATGCTTGCCTTTGGTCCTTCAAATTCTCCCCTTTGGCATCAAACACTAAAAAGGAAGACATTAGTAGCACAAGGGAGGTCAAATTTCATGATCCTTTGTGTATAGAGTGAAATGGATCACAAAATTTGACTCTCGCATTATATAGACTAAGCTCCCCTAAATATATGCATACATATGGTAGAAAGCAAAGCATATGCATAATTAGCAATTTGTTGCACAAGAGAGTTTAATCTATATAATGCATGGAGAAAGCTATATAAATATGAAATAAAATCAACATGATGATGCCAATTGAAGAACGATGCTTCTCTTGGGGACTCCATTTTCCTTGCAATGAGATCACTACACACATGATAAACTTGAAAAAGGTGTTAGTCTCAAAGCGTCCATCTTGTAGATGATCCTCCCCCTAAATTTTTGCATGGAGACATGGAATACTTGTAGTACTCATGCACA